TTTTTCTGTCTTTTATTTTGTATTCAGAATATTATTCTTAATTTTTCCTTTATGGTAAGTTATATAGGGTTTGAAAAAGTCCTTGGTTTTTCTTTAGAGTATAGCCTATAATGTTGCTTGAAAGAAACTTTAACATAAACAGTCACGAGTCTTATCCACTGATTAATATTTAACTGCATTACATCTGTGCAAAGAATGGTAGATGTAGTGGAAAACCACCAGCTGTGAGGGACAATGCTGTACTTGACCTGTTTGAAATGTTAAATTCCATGTGTTTGGGGTACGAACAATACAAGTCATCTTATGCCGAGTAAAGTCATGGCTATTAATTTTCTTTAGTTTTTCTCAACAAGAATAGAAAATCCAATGTTACATCTGGAGTGAAATCGGTAATTCATAGTAGTTCCTTAAATACTTGTTGACTTTACTTATTGACTTGAAATTCCATTGACCTCTCCCTTCCTCTGTTATCTTATTATTGAAAAGAATTAGGTATGTAGCAGCATTTTTCTTCATGTTCTTCAGTCTCCACTTGCTGTGTATTATGTGCATAATGTAATGAAGAGAGAGGGAGGGAAGATAGGAATTTATTGGATACCTACTATGTATTCTGCTCTGTACTAGGTATAGAAATATCAAACATTTAAATTTGATTAACCATTATGAAACCATATGCAATCTAGTGCAAAGTTGCATGGTACAGTTTCATCTTTATTTTTCTTGTATGACACTGGACTGCTTATTTGGACTCCATAAATCATTTGTCTAGTGAGTGAATAGGTGAATGACTGACTGTATGACTGCATAAATATAAGTGCTGAAGGAGTTTATGCTCATGTCTTTATTCATTTTATCTCTTACTACTTCCAGCCTTCTGACTCAAACCTTGACCTAATTTCAGATTTTTCCCTTAGCTATATTCTATAATGCCCATTTCTTTTTCTCCTATTCCTATGAAGTTTATCTGGATGATGGCATTAAACTCTCAACTGGGCTACTGCTTCAAGACTTAACCCCATTCACTCAATCCATTGTCCAGATGATAGCTAGCATGTGTCTCAAGCTTGCTTACAGCTGATAACTAGATCCTCTTCACACTAATATCAAGTCAAAACTTCTTAGCATGTCAGGCAGGGCTTCTAGAGCAGTAATTTAAGATCATGAGCTTTAGATTATATACTTTTTGAGGACAGGAATTATATTGAATTGTGCCACATGCTTCTGATCTCCTAGTAATTTACCCATTACTCAGTAAATGTGACTTAATTTTCTTTCAGCTAAAGAAAGGGTTTTAAATAACTTGCAGAAGCATGAGGCTCCCCATCCTCCCCTTGCTCTGCACCCAATGAGGCCTCCAGTGCCAGTCATTTCCTCAGCTGCACTACTGAGTCAGAAGGACGCCACCCAACTCGTGTGTGCAGACCTGAATCTGTTGCAGCAGCAGGCCAGGTAAGACTGTGAGACCTCAAGGGTCATGCTCCTGTGCTCGCTGCTGAGACAGCCTGGATGATTTAGCACCTAGCATGGCTTCTTCATCAGCTTTCTCCCTAGGATGGTACTTTGACCAGACTGTCCCAGACTGTCCACTTGGTTAAGTTGTGACAGGTCTTAATTTCACATCAAAATTATGTGATATTCTCATGGATTATCAATTTTACACATTTCCTGTGGTGGCATTTCTGAGTATCAGCAGTGGCAGCTAAGATTTTTCTTATGCTTCCCCTGAGGAGACCTGGTACTGGAAAGATGTTGGAAGTGTGTGAAATGAGATTTACTTTCTTGGATCACTGCTTTGCTCTCTAACTTTCTGTATTCTTTTAAAAACTGTTGTAGGTACTTGACTGAAAGTCATATAGTGTTTTGAATTCACATGGTATATACAGAAGAATGATCAATTGTTTAAGGTTTGGATTCTAGCTTGTGATCTTGTGAGAAGGAGCTTATGTGGAATAAGTCTGGTTTTTTTTTTTTTTTGTCTTTTTTCGTGACCAGTAAGGGGATCGCAACCCTTGGCTTGGTGT